TGGAGACATATAATTCATTCGAGGAGATATTATTTGATGTTCGGATTGATATTTGATTTATTGGCGAATAACTTGCCTTATCCATGGGAGATATTGGACTTACCTATGAGAATAATTCGATATATTCGCGAACGCATCATTTGATTTATTCTTGATCAATTGGATTTACTCGCATGATGATTTGATTGATTTGCAAGCATAATATGTGACTTATGCATAAAACTTAATTGAATTATCCTCGTGAGATACTTGATTTATTCATGGAGATACTTGCTATATGCGTGGAGACGGTATGTGAATTATTTATTAGAGGGTAAATGCGGGTCACGATTTTGGATTGAGGATATTTCGCGATTGTGCTTGACTGGTGTTTGGTACATTTTTCAAATTATCCATCGATAAGCTCGAGGACCTGAATTAGATTGGCATGATTGGGCATCTTGATATCTGAATATATTTGAACCCTCTCATTTGAATTTTCATGAGCACATGTGGAATTTTGTCTGAATTAAATTGCCCATAATTTTCTGAGCGTGTCATTACTAGAACATGCCTTGAATCGAGAAGATAATGATGTTCGTATTTGACCTCTTATTTTTCTCATGTGAAAAATGATAAGATGGATGACGTGAATGTAATGTTGATAACGACATCTCTTTGAATTCTTGCCGAGGAACCCGCGGGACGATCCAAATCTTAACAAATTATTGAGACAAATGTTCGAGTGTCGAGGACAAAATGAGAGAGCACGAATCTATCAATGTGAGATGACAGTGGAGGTTAAGTTTTGACGGTGTTGATCACCGATGGCAATCTCGAAAACGAAGATCAAATCTCTTTTGGGTGAGATTGGATAATTCTGAGTGGTATTCTCGACTTTAAGGTATCTGCGGAGTATGCTTCGCCGAATTATTTATTGAACTCTTAGTTTTGTGAAATTCTGATCTACCGTACATTTGAGTTGATATTTATGTCCTTCATTATCGGGAAAAAAGCTTAATTGTGAATTATTGTGTGATATAGTAACACGTGGATATGTTTGATTGTTTCGATGCATCTATTGTTATTATTGTCATTGGAATCGTAAATTGGATGATATTAATAGACTGCGAAGTCGATCTAAACAACTACGAAGTTGTATGCCTCGAGTGGAATCTCGGCAAAGGCTATGAAGCCTACGACTACGAAGTCGATCTAAACAACTACAAAGTTGTATGCCCCGAGTGGAATCTCGGCAAAGGCTATGAAGCCTACGACTACGAAGTCGATCTAAACAACTACGAAGTTGTATGCCTCGAGTGGAATCTCGGCAAAGGCTATGAAGCCTACGACTACGAAGTCGATCTAAACAACTACGAAGTTGTATGCCTCGAGTGGAATCTCGGCAAAGGCTATGAAGCCTACGACTACGAAGTCGATCTAAACAACTACGAAGTTGTATGCCTCGAGTGGAATCTCGGCAAAGGCTATGAAGCCTACGACTACGAAGTCGATCTAAACAACTACGAAGTTGTATGCCTCGAGTGGAATCTCGGCAAAGGCTATGAAGCCTACGACTACGAAGTCGATCTAAACAACTACGAAGTTGTATGCCTCGAGTGGAATCTCGGCAAAGGCTATGAAGCCTACGACTACGAAGTCGATCTAAACAACTACGAAGTTGTATGCCTCGAGTGGAATCTCGGCAAAGGCTATGAAGCCTACGACTACGAAGTCGATCTAAACAACTACGAAGTTGTATGCCTCGAGTGGAATCTCGGCAAAGGCTATGAAGCCTACGACTACGAAGTCGATCTAAACAACTACGAAGTTGTATGCCTCGAGTGGAATCTCGGCAAAGGCTATGAAGCCTACGACTACGAAGTCGATCTAAACAACTACGAAGTTGTATGCCTCGAGTGGAATCTCGGCAAAGGCTATGAAGCCTACGACTACGAAGTCGATCTAAACAACTACGAAGTTGTATGCCTCGAGTGGAATCTCGGCAAAGGCTATGAAGCCTACGACTACGAAGTCGATCTAAACAACTACGAAGTTGTATGCCCCGAGTGGAATCTCGGCAAAGGCTATGAAGCCTACGACTACGAAGTCGATCTAAACAACTACGAAGTTGTATGCCCCGAGTGGAATCTCGGCAAAGGCTATGAAGCCTACGACTACGAAGTCGATTTAAACAACTACGAAGTTGTAACTCGAGTAGATTCTCGACAAGACTACAAAGCCTACGACTACGAAGTCGACCCACACAACTACAAAGTTGTGAAAATCCACCATGATTAAGGCCTCCGGGCTGGGTGGTCCACCATGATTAAAACCCATCGAGCGAAGATGGTCCGATGAGTCGACTACCCCTCCGAGGGGGGCATGCGTTCGAACCTAGATAATTGATGTTGATCCTTACTTGATTTTGTCGAAGTTGTATTTCGGCCTCGGTGGAAGGTCGAGCATGTTCATTATTGCGTGAACAGGTTGATTGCTTTTCACTTGGTGGTGTATTATCGAATTTATTTTTCGACCTCGGTGGCAGGTTGAGTGTATTTGTTATTGTTCGAGCAAGTTGACGGTTTTATTTGACTTCGTTTTGTCAAATGTGATTTTTTGACGAGAGAGTGGAGCCAGGTCCTTCAGTCTTCGAGAAGATACAAAACAGGCTTGAATTTCAAATTTTGAACTAGGGGGCGATGGGATGAGGTAACCGGAAAGGTTTATTATTAATTGACAAAACAGAATATGTAAGTTCAAATTTTCAAATTCAAGACTTCGAGGATTGGTCCTGTTGTATTCGACCTCGATTTCGGTAATCGACCTCAGAGCCAGGTCATCCAATTCTCGACCTCAGAGCCAGGTCATCCAATTCTCGACCTCAGAGCCAGGTCATCCAATTCTCGATTTTTGACCTCAACGGTCTCGACTCTCGGCTTTCGACCTCAGCGGTCTCTCAATTCTCGGCTTTCGACCTCAGCGGTCTCGACTCTCGATTTTCGACCTCAACGGTCTCGACTCTCAGCTTCGACCTCAGAGGCAGGTCATCTAATTCTCGACCTCAGAGCCCGATCTTTCGAGTCTCGACCTCAGAGCCAGGTCATCCAATTCTCGATTTTCGACCTCAACGGTCTCGACTCTCGGCTTTCGACCTCAACGGTCTCGACTCTCAGCTTCGACCTCAGAGGCAGGTCATCTAATTCTCGACCTCAGAGCCCGATCTTTCGAGTCTCGACCTCAGAGCCAGGTCATCCAATTCTCGATTTTCGACCTCAACGGTCTCGACTCTCGGCTTTCGACCTCAACGGTCTCGACTCTCAGCTTCGACCTCAGAGGCAGGTCATCTAACTCTCGACCTCAGAGCCCGGTCTTTCGAGTCTCGACCTCAGAGCCAGGTCATCCAATTCTCGACCTCAGAGCCAGGTCATCCAATTCTCGATTTTCGACCTCAACGGTCTCGACTCTCGGCTTTCGACCTCAACGGTCTCGACTCTCGGCTTCGACCTCAACGGTCTCGACTCTCGGCTTTCGACCTCAGCAGTCTCTCAATTCTCGGCTTTCGACCTCAGCGGTCTCGACTCTCGATTTCCGACCTCAATGGTCTCGACTCTCGGCTTCGACCTCAACGGTCTCGACTCTCGGCTTTCGACCTCAGCGGTCTCTCAATTCTCGGTTTTCGACCTCAGCGGTCTCGATTCTTGGTCTTCGACCTCATCGGTCTCTCGATTTTCAATCTCATCAGTCTCTCGATTCTCGATGCTTGACCCCAGTGGCGGGTCACTTGACTTTCGACCTCTACAACCGCTCTGTTTTTAATGTTTGACTCCAGTGATGAGTTGCTCTATCTTTCACTCTTGAATCGAGTTATGCTCACTCGACCAGAGTGGGGGGGACTAGATGATATAGCCACGAATAGTATTGTCGGCTCGACCGGTAGCATCTGATATAGCATGTCGTACCCGACCGGTTTTTATGGATATATACTGAAGAATACGCCCATACATAGGCTAAGACACTTGATATGATGAGATGGGCCAGGCCCAACCTAGGCCAAAGCCCAACTTAGATTATGAGGTATATTCCCCCTATAAAAAGGGGGCTAAGGTACTCATTTTACAGATTCTCTCCCCATTGATTCCATACTACTCTCTCTCTCTATGATGTGAGTACTGACTTAAGCATCGGAGGCCCGAAGCCGGGCACCCCACCCGGGGTCCCGACTTTGGGTTCTTGCAGGTACGGCGGCCGTCCGAGTCGAGGGGTCCGGGTGACATTTTTGTCCCATCACCCATTATTTGCCCTAGTTTCTACACAGACAAACCATTGTTGTGAAGCTTCGTTGACTTCGTCGGGCTAGAAGCTAAGATCCACTTTGCCATTTTTTTCTTCCCCATTTCAATTTATGTCGATTTAGCGTTACATTCGTCGGCGTGCTTTGTTTTCTCCGTCGATTTTTTCTACTTACAATTTTAGTTCGTTTATTTATTTATTTATTTTTTGTTTATTTATCACAATTTTTGTTGGTCCCGTACAAAACGCAATCTCCGTCGGGCATAACTGTGAGCTCTTCCCAAGTACCGGTGTAGGTAAACACCTTGACATTCCTCAGTTATGCCTATTATTGTTTCATTAATTTGGTTCCAAGTGTAGGTTACATTTTGTTCAAATTCGTCATATTTTAGTTTTCCCTTCCTCGAATATGCAACCATCTTCAATTTGTGCCGGTTAATCGGTTTCGTGAATGGTACTTCGCTGTTGAAGATGGGGATGAGTGAAGGGTATCGGGGGAGAAGAAATGAAGAATGAAAGCGATTCTGTGAAGTCGATGTTGTACAGACAACATAAGGGTAATTTAGTCTTTGGATTCTGTAACATGTCATTTAATCCATTGAAGTAAAGATAAGATTCATTTATGTAAATTTTGACCAAAAAAGTAAACAAGGGACTAATTGCTGAGCTATAAAGTACCCTTGATAAATTTGTCTTATCCCTTCCTGCAAAGTAAACGACCCTAAGGGGTTTCTAGTAATTTACTTTTATAAATGGACATCAAGTAGTGTCGTTATGACGTGATGAGAGTTGGTAGGCGGCCCGTGTTAATAAATTTCCAGAAAGTAGTAGTAGTTGTTGGATAGTTGTAGCAGGGGCGTTGATATCCAGAATCAAACCCCAACATTTCGGATTTGAGAAAAAGTACTCCCGTTTCGCCCCCTCGCTGTTTATCGATTTGCTCGCCCCCCGTAGCTTCGTTGCTGTGCTAATTGTATGACTTTGGAGGCAAACGGCGATGTCTGGCGGCGGAGATCGACGCCGTCGGACGAGCTGCCGCCCCCTACCCCAGCGGAGTTCAAGGGGACTCCGGGATCGATTTTTCATACATTATTGGCACTTATCTTGTGGCTTGGTTCCGTCCATTTTAACTTTATCGTCATCTTGCTTTCCTTCGTCTTCCTCCCTTTTCCCAGAGCACTCGGGTTCGTGTTTGCTTTTTTGTATGTGCGTGTTTCTGCTCGCAGTTGTGTGTGTGGTCATAATATTAAAATAATACTGTCCCTCTCATTTCAGAGTCATAGGATTGCTGTTCATATTCATAGTAATCCCAATTGATGAGCGGAGTAAGTGGGGCCGTAAACTATCCAGGTCAGCTTGTGCAATTCTGAATCTTTTTGATTTACTTCCTCGATGCATGCATCGTATTTTTTCTTCAGTTTTTATAAGTGAGGCTGGTAATAATGGTGAATGTTTATCAGGTATATATGTAAGCACGCGGTTGGTTATTTTCCGGTGTCTTTGTATGTGGAGGACATTAAAGCCTTTGATCCTAATGAGGCCTATGGTAATTTCAGTAATTTACTGAATTTGATATGCATGGTCTAACCTTTGTTGGTGTAATTGTTTTATGATGTTTGTTGAATACGTTGCTGCTTGTAGCGATTTATCTGATTTTGAAACTTGTCTACATCCAAAATTTCCTTTTGTTATGATAGTTTTGCTTGAATCAAATCTATAACCATAGTCCTTTCTAATACAATATGGTGCAATGCTACCATGCTCAATCTGTTAATGTTATGATGAAGACTTTGTTTTCTAAAAACTATAAGCTAGCTTGTAGCTTATTTAAAGAGCTTATATCCTTGTATTTAAATAAGTCTTGTTTGGTAAGATGAACTTTTATAAATTGCTAGAGTGAACCTCAGATGCATATCGAGGTAGCAATTAGGACAACTCACTTTCATTTCAATTGATTTATCAAATAATTTTACCAAACATATTTATTGCATTTGCTAGCTTTCTAGTCATCAGCCATTAGCTACAAATTATCTGTTCGAAACTAGCTTATCAGTCTTCACTAGTTTTTTAGATATATCTACCAAATATACCTGAAGTGCATAGCATGACTGCTATTAGGAAGCATATAAAAGTGCTTGTCGTTATGCAGAAAGATGGCTATGTTTTGCACATTATTAGAATTCACTGAATTTATAATCTAATATTGCAAATTTTTCAATCTATGTTAAACCTTTACGGAAGGTGTATGATGACATACAGACAAATTTTGTAGAGCACGCGAGAGCTCCAATAGTTTCCTAGAAGCAAATTTTTTTAAACCCTTTTAGCAGACACTGAAATATCCATGATCTGGGGTGGGGTAGCTCTGCTGTGCTTTTGCTGGGGTGTTGTCCGTATAGTGAGCGTATGGTGAGATTTGTGTGTTCATCTAAGAGGGCCCGTCCTTCCTTAAGAATACATGTTGAAACCTTTCGCTGCACATGCCCAGAACATTAATAAGCAGTCTATTGCCAATTGGACGATATTGTTTTAGCTTAGCTTTGCAGAGGACATATGCTCTCTTTGTGCCAGATTATGGGGTGGTAGTCTTGTGACTTGATTCCCACAGGGACCTCATGTATGGAAGAGAGTAAATTGAAATATTATTGGTGACCAAGCAATTTCCATGGTAAATGAATTTGTCAAAACAGTGGTTGGAACGTTTTGGATTTGATAGTATAGAATCATGGACTATGATTTGATTTGGATTTTGAAAATATTTGATTTCTTCAATTTTACGTTAGGTTATTTTATTTCATCTCCTGCTCCGTGAATTGAATCAAGGAGTCCTACTATCTAAAGGCCTAGTATAAATCATAAAATAATAAGAAAAAAGTAGTTTCTTTTCTCCATTTTTCCTCCTCATTTTTCTTCTATTTTTTCTTCATGATATCAGAGCCTAGGGTTCGGTCTAGTCTCTATTTTCTATGGCAAACCAAAGTCCATAGAAAATGACAATGACATTAACTGGGGAGAGACATAAACAGAACAGGGACTCTACGAGCATGTTTGTTTATGGAATTTTTTAAAACATTTCCAACATTTTAACTCAATTATTTTTTTAACTCAACTTTAACTCAACCCCACTATCATAAAAATTATCAATATAATTGAATAATATCAATCAACCATTCATACACACCACATCAACCTTAATTCACTATTCATCCTCTCACATTATTTTAACTAACCATCACTTCAAATCTCTCTCTCCTACTTTTACATCAAATCAATTTTAATTATTTTATTTTAAATATTATTTTAATATACCCACTAACAACTAACCATACCACCTTTTTCAAAACTAACCAAACCAAATCACAAAATCCAAACAAAACAAAAATTTTTTATAAACAAACATGTTCACGGCTTCAGGAAAAAATGCTATGAGTAGAGGAAACGTTCCCATGTTTAACAATCCAGAATGGTCCACCAATTCACTTCAAGTGAATATTCTCCGGTTAAATGGAAGAAATGATACCCGTTTGTTTGATCTTAGAAGGCAAGGGGAGGTTCAGCTATGTGACAGGAGAAGTAATAAAACCTGCACATGGGGATTCGAATCTCAGGGCTTGTAATAAAAATTTTTCCTCCTTATTGTGTGGTTAATATATTCAATGGAACCCGCAATTGCTAAGACCTTCATGTTCTTGCCAACAACGAAGGATGACTGGAAAGTTATAGATTTAGACCTATAGAATTCTTCGCAAATTTTCATCTTAAAGTCCAAACTTTGGCATGCGAAACATGGCGATCGAGATGTAACCACCTACTACATTGAGTTGGTGACCTTGTGACAGGAGATTGATCTCTGTTATGAATTATGATGATGTCTCAGAGTGCGCAAATGAGATTGTTTAGTTTGTGAAAGGACAAGAGAATGACCGTGTCTTCATGTTCACGACAAAACAAGGGTCACATGAAGTACGAGGCCCAATTTTTGGAAAAACTCCTCTTCCAACCATACGTGAATCATTCCTAGATGTTCGTCGAGAAGAAGCGCGACAAAGTGTAATGCTTAATAAGAAGCATGCTGCTGCTACTGAATCTGAAGCTGAAAAGGTTAGCACTTGTAACCCGACAGTCTCTCTAGGAGGAAGCAAAAAAAGAGGTAAAGCGTGCTGAAAAACCATGGTGCGACTATTGCTCGCGCACATGGCACACACGGGAGACATGTTGGAAAATTCATGGAAACCCTCAAAACTGGAAAAAGAAGTTCAAGGGAGAGAGGCGGGTATTCCAAGCTATTGTGACCAAGAGCAACCATCTTCTTCAAATTCATTTCCTTTCACCAAAGAACAAACAACCAATTGCACAAACTTCTTGAGTTTCAAAACGCTCCTTCTTGCTCGCTAGCTCAGAAAAGGTAACTAACTATTTGAAAGAAACCCTTGTTAGCTCACGTAATGTCACACTTGGATCATTGATTCAGGTGCAACCGATCACATGACTGGGCTGCCTAGTCATTTTTCTCAGACCTGGAAACCAAAAAATAGAAATTGAAGGTTACTTTTTTAGTCATCTCTTTCAGCCATTGTACGAAAAAGGCTCCATTGTAGTATCTCCTTCACTTACTCTTCATGATGTCCTTCATGTTCCCAAGCTTTCTTGCAATCTTTTGTATGTTAATAAATTAGCATCTAAGCAAAACCGTCAAATCAAATTTTTCCCAACTCATTGTTACATAGGATTTGACTTCAGGGAGGATGATTGGTAGTGCTAGGCAAAGTGGAGGACTTTACATCTTTGACTATGAGTGTGAATTGAGGCAACAATCCCATCAAATAATTTCGTTCTTTGAATAATGCTGAAAATATAATGAAGGATAAAACATTTTTTTTTTTTTTTTAAATCTATAAATTTGCTTTGATAATCATTTTTGTATGTGTAAAACTTAAAGATATAACAAAGTATAACAATATAATGAATAAAAGTAAATTAAAAAATGGAGATTCATAAACTTAACAACTATTGTAAGTTGTAACTTCCCAATATTAACAAAAAAATTACAATAATATCCTTAAAAGTTATCTTTAGTTAGTGAGGGTGTTTTTGGAGATTCAAAAGTTTCAAGAAACTACTCCTCCTTTTAAGGGAGTTATTATTATTATTATTATTATAGATATAGATTATAGATAACCTAAAGCTGGGGTCATTTGTCTTCTGTTTGTTCCTTCTTATCACCAAACAATCGACATCTTCACTAAGGTGCTATCAAAGTCTCACTTTGAACACTAAATAAACAAGTTGGGCGTGATTGATATCTATGCATCCACTTGAGGGGTAGTGTTGGAATGTTTGAGATTTGATATCATAGAATCAGGATTATGATTTGATTTGGATTTTTAGAATATTTGATTTCTTCAGATTTCCTTTTTCTATTTAAAGGCCTGTTGTAAATCATAAAATAACAAGAAAAAGTAGTTTCTTCTGTTCATTTTCCTCCTCATTTTCTTCTATTTTTTCTTCAACAATTGTTGTTAAAGGAAATGTCAGAATGGGCAAAACTTAGTTATGTTTAGGGTATATGTATCACTTTTGACTAGTTCCAAAACCTTATTACTTTAGTGATGAGCTATGCGACAAATATAATCCAATGTATACTTATACCTTTTCTGGTTTTGGTATAATTCTGATTAGCATATAAATTACAGTATTCTGTGCTTATGTTAGATAAAAGAAATTGTGCTTGGTTATCTAGTGTAGCTTGACTGTTAGATGAGAGATTTTGTTGCTTGGAGAAAGTTTGAATCATATTCTTTGCAGTTCTTGGTTACGAGCCACATTCAGTTTGGCCTATTGGAGTTGTTGCACTCGCTGACCTTACAGGTTTCATGCCTATCCATAAAATCAAAGTTCTTGCCAGTACCGCTGTACGTTTCACATGCTTATAAAGAACTTTTATTATATATATACACATATACATGTATATATATAATTATATATTGATATCATTAAGTCGTAGAATTAACATGCCATGACTATATGTGCTTATAAAGAAAAAAACGATCAGGTGTTTTACACTCCATTCATGAGACATGTATGGTCGTGGTTGGGACTTTCACCTGCCTCAAGGAAAAATTTTACTACCCTTTTGGCGTCTGGTTATAGCTGTATCATTGTACCAGGGGGAGTTCAGGAGGCCTTCTATATGGAGCATGGCTCTGAGGTTTGTCCTTTATAAATAAGCAACGCCAAATGTTTCTGTGGGTTCGCCTGATTACACATTAATCTATATTAGAAGCTTCATTTTCATACCATCTCATTTTCCCCTATTTTCAAGATGCAAACTAAAACTTCATCCAATTGTATTATTTTGTAACAAATATTGAATGGATTGGATATTTGGTTATGATTTGCAATAACAGTACTGGTAGAACTTAATTGGAAGAAGATACCGGCTTTTGTTTATCGAATAGAGCTTAATTGGAAGAGGAAATTGATGTCAGCTTATTTTTATTGAACTTCTTGAAAATTTCATTTTTATTATTTTTTTGATGATCATTATATGTTGAAATTGTTTATTGTAGGAGTTTTTGCTCAGGTTGCTTTGGCTAAAATCACTAAACTTATGAAAATAAATAAATTAGCTATTTAGAAGCATCAATTGTGTTTTTTAAGAAAGTTTCATAAGTACATTTATTGGTTTATCTGTTCAAGTTAAATTATGTTTGAGTTTGTTTGCCTGCGTGTAAGTTTTGGCCAAATTTAATAGTACATAGATATTTAGTTTGTGGGGGTGTCTGATACAATACATAAGTAGCTTTGTGCTAAGTTAAAAAAACGAAAAGACTATTTCAATGATTGTCATCCATAGATTCACTTATAAGCCGCCGCTAAAGTTGCATAAATAAGTTTTGACCAAATTTAGTAGAACATAAATATTTAGTTTATGGGGTGTCTATAATGTAATATCTAAGTAGATAAGTGGGATGAAGTTTAACCACTTCCTTTCTTCCCTTAGTTTGCCAAGTCTATCATCTGCTAGCAGCTCAGCTCATGTTCTTTTATGCGCAGCTAGCCTTTATTAAGAAAAGAAGAGGATTTGTACGTATAGCTATGGAGATGGGCAAACCGATTGTTCCTGTTTTCTGCTTTGGTCAGGTTTGATATCTTTCCTTTCACCTCACAGTCGATGAATTTTAAAAGTAAGTTCAGCTAGGCGATGTTAACTTGCTGATACATGCTTGTACGAAATACATTACAACCACCTTTTACTCAAATGAGGAAATATTTCAATTGAGTTATTGTTGGATTAAAATATCCTTCAAAATCTTTAGCATAAATCTTTATACAAGTCTTTGGAGCAATAACGTTGTATACTTTGTGATCTTTTAAGAGTCCAAAAGCACAATAAATGCCTTTTTTTCTCTGCTATACTTCTGAAAAGATCTTTAATTTTCAAATTAAATCATTTTTGTATTAAACTAGAATTTTGGAAGCTTTCGCCAATATGTAACTAAAAGCATATGTAAAAGTTGAATTCTATCAGTTTTATGTAAAATTTTCAGCTATTGCTGCTATTCTGTTACAAATGACGTATTAATATATAGGTGAGAAATTTTTGGGGTTGAGGTTGGTAAAAACATTTAACAAAGAAATGCACGTATGTCGAATAGTGGACAATAATTTATGTATAATGAGAGATTTTTGTGAGTTTACCACTTGAATTTGATCGATTTGGAGAAAGGGGAAAATCGTGTTTGCTTGAAAATTCTTATATGGAAGGAACCAGTCACCAAAAAAGCATGATTTAATTTTCAACTCTTAACATAAATATTATTTTTTCGGCCAAAGTACCTAATTAAGACATATATAAACTTGAATAAGACTTGATGACAATAAGAAATCGAGCCCGAAGAAACGGCCACAAACAGTATGTGGAACACTCCTTTAGTTGATGATGAACTCTCAGTAAATACATCTTGGCTTTATGAACTTCTATAATTGAGAAAATAGTCTACTGCAGATTCCTAAAACTAGAAACAAACGAGAGCTACTAGATTTTGGATTAAGACTTATAAGTTTTATATCTCACTGCACGGAACTATAGAACACCAACCAGTCATTATGTCTACATATGACCTAATTAATTTAACATAATTATTAAAGCATAAAAGGTAACACAACATCACCAACAATCGAATGCCATATCTAGTGAAATGCCTGGATACATAAAACACTATGTCCACTTATCGGAAATTAAGACGGACAGAAACAAAGAGCAAATGCAGCATCCTCAATTTATAATAATTAGAATTAATATTCTATTAGTGAATAATAAAATCAATTAAATGTTATTTTAGAAACATTTGTAAAACCATGTTTGAAAACCAAGTGCGGAAGCTTGTAAAATGACTTATTATCGGCGCGAGAGGGTCGCCTCAAATAGGTGTGGTAAGGCACTCTTGTAAAAGGCACTCAAATAGGCTTGTTGCCGCAGGTCGTCTCGCACCTTTTTAATCACTGCCAAAACAAAGACAATTATGGAAAACAATAATTCCATCTTACAAAATTACTTTTCAAATATACTAGTAAAGTGCACGTGCGATGCACGTGGTGATGAATGTTTTTTGACTGTTAAGTTTAGTAAAATAAATTAGTTAATTTATTAAACAAATCATTACAAGAACGAAATAAAATGTAAAACAAATAAACTTCTAATGTATTTTTTTATAAATAATATAATGATGTCCTAATATAAAAAAATAAAATAACATATTACAACCCCAAAAAAATATAGTCCCGAATGAGCATAAAACACTAAGTAACTAAATAAGGATCTAATGTATATTATAGATGCATTAATTCTCTTATTTAATTATTTTAGATGATTCAAGAATGATTTTCTTTCATTTTGGTTTTGACGTTTTCGTAAGATGCATTCATACCCGTTGGAGCTCAATACATTAATAGTATTGCAAAATTCTTCTTAATACATTTGGTAAAATGTCTATTTTATTCAAATATTTATAAATATTCTAGCTAAACACATAATCAAACTTATAATTTATTTCTACTAACAGTTCATGAATATCTCTGTAAAATAACCAACATGTCAATACAATTGTTAGTATTTTTTTTTATCATTGTATAAACTTCTTCATTACTCTCTCTCTCTCTCTCTCCATATATAGACAAATTGCTACCTACCAAATGAAGGCATTGCCCCACGGTGTGGAAAAAAAAATTCAACTCCAACTAAAAGTTGACTTACCAAAATCTTGTAACATGTACTTCTCCCGAGGAGTTATATTATTTTCTGAAATCATCATATTACATGAAAGTATGTACTCTAAAGTAATTGTACATATGTTCAAGCACAATACACAATGAGATTGTAATATTTCTATAAAAAAAGTGACAATTACTTTCAAACATTAAAGAATGTTTTGATCAGGCTTTGAAAATTTCTTTTCAATGTGAAGAATGGCGAACTATATAATTTACTGTTTGCAAATCACTGATCATCTTGGTTGTTGCAATGATTTTAGAGTTGTTTATCATAATATTTTTCACATTCATTTGGATTTGCAAACTTATGTGCCTAATAACTTCTTTAATGCTTTTATTATCCAATTTTTTTGCATCATACATAATTCTTCGAAAATTCAAGATAAAGCACTCTTCTTGATTCTTCGACAATGACAAACAAAACAAAACAAAACAAAACAATTAGACAATATTAAGAAACATATTATTTGTTAAAATAATCGAGAGAATAAAAATTAGAATTCTGTTATATTATGATACTTTAAGTCGTCTGCGGAACTTTATTATCACAAAGTTATTATTAAATCTAAATTATCTTTTACAAAGCTTTTATTTTTTTAATACTTAAAATTCTTGATTTCATAAGATCATTATTTATGAAAACCAATTTATTACAGAGTCTATATATTTAAGCGCTAGCAAAAAAAAGTTGTAATTTTAGAAGACTTTTGTTTTTAGATTTGGTATTCATATTTCTATAAGAAAATTCAGACTTCTTCTTTCCCTATTGCATGACTATTGTTTTATTTGTTTTTTTTTTTATTTTTTTTTTATTTTATGTTCGGTAGGTTTTCTTGATGGATCCTTGGTGGAACCCAGCTGTCGAGAGACAGGCTCAGGATAGAATTCACCGAATAGGTCAATATAAACCAATCCGGTAGGTTTTAATGATTTTTTCAAATAATTGAGAGAATAAAAATTATGATACTCTAAGTCATAACGTCTGCGAACTTTATTATTACGAAGTTATTATTAACTCTAAATTATCTATTACAAAGTTTTTATTTTTTTAATATTTAAAATTCTTGATAATATAAGATCATTATTTATGAAAACTAATTTTTTACAGAGTCCATATATTTAAACGCTGGCAAAAAAAAGTTGTAGTTTTAGAAGACTTTTGTTTTTAGATTTGGTATTCATATTTCTCTAATAAAATTTAGACTTCTATAAAGTAACTAAGTCTGTAATTAAAAAAATTAAGACTAACATACCTATTTTTATTGCCAAAAATATATATTTTTATGTATTTAAAAGTTCTAGTTAAAATAAATGTGCATCTTAAGTATGTTTTATATTTCTCATTAATCAGCTCAAACTAATATAGGACATTAATTAATTTTATCACTTTTTTTACTTTTGGATTAAATGAGACCTATAAACTTTTTTAATGTGTAGCCTTACTGTTTTATTACGTAGGACATCATTCTTATCCCTTGTTTAGTTAATATAATACTAATAAAATAATTAAAGATTTTTCCACCTAGATGTATCTTGTATGTTTTGAGAAAAAATATTAATTATCATAAATTAAATGATAATTATATTAAATGTGTTATATTTTTAACAACTTTCATAATAATTACTTGGACACAATATTATATATAATTCAATTTTTTTGATTGATTTTGAGTATTGCTTTTACTACAAGAAAGTTGATCAAATTCAATGAAATTATATTACACTGGAATTTCAACGACAATCTAACAAATATTTCAATGTTATTACTCCCACTTGAACTTTCTAATAAAAAGTTTCTGACAAAAATATTTTGTTGGAATCAATGACAGGTCCAATGTTTATTTAATAGGCCCGACACATGCCTCAATCCCAAAATATATAGGATAAGGATCTAACAAAAATTGTGGGAACATTTTTCATAATTTTAATCATGTCCCCTATTTTGAAAAAATAAAATAAAAATATATAATGAATTACTTTACAACTCAATCAATTATAATTTAATTAAGCTCATAACTTTATTAAAGTTATAACATAAACACGGTATCACAACTAAAAAAAATATGATAAAATCTTAAAATTATAATTTTAGCGTCTAATTGTATTTTTTATATCTTGATGATACCTTCTATTCTCTTTTTTTGAAACATATTGTTTTCTCTAACTTCAAAATATATTTTTTTATGTATATTTTAACTAATGTATGTGAAATTCTAGCTATAAATTGATAATTATAAATTCATCAATTATATTGTCTAGTCAACTATACTACAATATAAATTTATTGTTCATAAAAGTTTTAAAAAATATATTATTTTCAATGATTTTCTTATGTTGAATTGAAAAAAATAATATTCTTCTTATCTTAAATATTTTTTTAACTTATTGTGACTGCATTGTTGTGCTAAAATTTAACAATTTATTACAAATGAGAAATATGACAAATTATGAAAAGTATAATATATAAATTGACGGGATTATGTTAGTTTGATGGTATACCTTTTCTATTTACTAAATATGCCCCAAATATGATTTTGGATCTCCACTGCAATTAGTTTTTCAATGGAACTTATATTGATTTTTTTTCAATCCCAATGACAGTTTTTCCAACGGTTGACATATGGACCAAAAAAGAAAAATTCAACGGAAATTTACACAACAATAAATAATGGTAATTGAAATCATTAAATCCATTAAATTCCAATGTAACTTAATTTGATCTTTATTGGAATAACCAATGAAATTTTTCATTGAAAGCTATACAATGAAATATTGAAATTTTCAGTAGAATGCCTGTCGTCGGATTTTTCATTGCAATATAGAAATTTTTTATTTTCCTTCTAAACATTAAATTTTTTATGCTGTATTTTTGTTAATAATTAACTGTATTTATAATTTTTCTATTAATAATATGTTAAACACATGAAAATTTTAGTCCATATTTTTTTTTGGAAATCACTCATTATTTTATCTCAAGATTACCCATTAATCTCTCAATTGAATTACATGTCTTACATACTAAATATTAAATAATGAAAATAATTATTATTATATATATAATGTTATATTTATATATTATATTAAAAAACTAATAGCAAATAAAAGGTTAAAAATTAGAATAATCAATTTTTTTTTTTTTATTTTTTTTTTATTTTAAGTTTTAACCTACAGGGATAATAATACAAATAACTATTGTTTATCACCTAAAACTTATTCATATAATTAATAAGCACAAAAAATTAACAATCGTTTAACAACTCAACTCATTT